AGTTCTTATGTTGAATCTGCATTTCCCATAGGAATGAATTGAAAACCATTTAATCCGTATCTGCTCTTTTCCGTCCATAGAAACTACAGTGGAACCTCTACTTAAGAACTTAATCCGTTTTGGAATGGTGTTCTTAAGTTGAAACGTTCTGAAGTTGATGCAAAATTTCCCATAGGAATGGACTGAAAACCAATTAATCCGTTCTGGCTGTTTTTTTGTTATGTAGAGGTGCGTTCGTACATTGAAGCATTAGTTCCCATAGGAACTAATGCAAAGCTGGTTAATACGTACTCTACCACTAGGGGGAGAACTTTTTTTTTAACCTAAGATGACCTAAGGTTAAAAAAAGAGCAGGAAAGGTTTTTTTTCCTGTTCTTATCTTGGATTTCTGTTCTCAAGTAGACAACACTTTGCTCCCTGAAAGCTGGGGACTCATTTTACCGACCTCAGAAGGATGCAAGGATGGGTCAACCTCGAACCCGCTCCCTGAGCCCGAAAGGACTGAACTCAGGTTGCAAGCAGAGTTTTCCCTGCAGTCCACTAGCTTAACCACTGTATCCGGAGACTCAGGAAGATGCCCGGCACTTAATCATGCCCTTGTTGTTCCATCCACACCTCAACCTTGTCTACAGGTGGCAGTACCTCCATTTCAGGAAGGAACGTTCCCTAGTGCTATGCGGAGATGCCGGGTAACGAGCGTTGGACGTCTTGCTGACAAGCAGAGCTCTACCATTCTGCTGCAGCCCTCGGGCTGCGTATATTACAATAATAGTCTTCAAGATTAGGCAAGAATACATAAGATGAGACATGTTTTACAACTTTCTCCGCAGATCGATCCCCACACACACCCTGAAGGGAGGATGCGTCAAACATCATCCTGGAAGCCTTTTCTACATCGCTTCAACATCTGATCCTTGCATACAAATGGCACCACCGCTTTGTTAACAGCAACGGGAAGAGAGACCCAAGTCACTGAAGGTCAATTCTGTAGGTTAAAACCCATCGGCTTTATTTGTACACTGAATTTTAGCAAATGCCGGCACAGACCGGAACGCAAAGCAAGGCCCCGTCCAAAAGCCAGGAGGCCCCCCCCTGGTCTTGGCAAACCTACAAATCACGAGACTAAAGCCATTTTTAGCGTAACTGGCGGCTTACATGATTTTACCACCAGAGATAATCGTTTGAGCTTCTGCAAATAAATTTTAATGTATTGTAACGGAAGAGGACATCTGTAGGTAATAGGAGAAAGATTAAGGGATACTCTGAATCATCCAGACGCCAGAATTTCCACACACGCTAGCGAGCAAATGTGTATCAAGCCGCCTTCCATGCTGAAATTCATCAGCTATAATTTTGAAAAGAAACATTCCCTTTTTGGCAGCTTTGATGACCGTCACTTTTACACCAAAGAAATTTATCTGCTTTTAGATAATTTCACCTGTGCTATGGCTAGGACTGAGTAGGGGGAGGTTACCATGGCATAAATGTTAAAACCAATGAGAGTAGAAATAAATACGATGTTTTAGTCACCCCTTAGGTTGAGTTTCAGTGACCCTCTCCTGGTTCAGCTCCTCTATTTGTTTCATTTTCCTTAAAGTATGTGAATCGTTTTGCGGCATGAACATTTTGATTATGCCCACCCTCACAGGGCAATATATATAAAACAGAGAAACAGAAGACAAATACCGTATTTTTCACACCATAAGATGCACTTTTCCCCCACAAAACAGGGGGGTGGAAAGTCTGTGCGTCTTATGGAGCGAAGGAAACAGATTATATTTTCCTGTTTTCTTCTCCTAAAAATGGGTGCGTCTTATGGAAAGGTGCGTCTTATGGAGCGAAAAATACGGTACATAGTATGCTTGTAAAAAAATTACATTGATTTAATACACTGATGTGGCTCTTGCAACACATTTGTATGTAATGTTCAAGTATTATGTATTTTTCGTGTATAAGACTATACTTTTGTCTAAAATCTTTAGACTAAAAATTGAGGGTTGTCTTATACACGGAAGTAAGCTGAGGAGAGAACAAAACCAAGTGGAGAGGAAAGCAGGGATCAAAGCGATCCTGCAGCGCTTTGATCCATTTCCCCCTTCGCTTGCTAAGTCCCACTTAGATTTCTTAATTTTGAATTAGAAAAGTGGGGGAGGTGGTCTTATACATGGGGGTGTCTTATACACGGAAAAATACGGTAATCTTCCAGAGTAGAATAAATTCCATAGAATTCTTTTCTCTCTCGGAACCTCTTAACTGATTATGAACTTCACCATCTGTGTGCTCTATCATGCTTTAAACCACTGCATTTTAGACCAAGGAACCTTTTCTCTTAGTGTATTTTCAACAGCTCTTCTAACCCATAATAGCTTGAATTCATCTGCTTCCTCAGACCATGGAAACGGTTGGGTGCCTCCTCCACCCGCAGAAGGCAAGCCAGAAGGGAAGGACAGCTAGAAGACTGCCTCTCGGTGCCTGTTTGCTCCTAAGGGAATCCGGTCCCCATATTTATAAGGCAGGATTCTGCTGCAATCTTCCAATGACCCTATTGCATTGATTTCATACACCCTGAGGGGGAGGGTGACGGGAAATCTAAAACTCTAAGATTTCATCCCTTAAAATTATTGGCCAGCATCCTATCCACAATCATGGGGTGTAGCATTGAGCAGGCAGGCAGTAAATGTCTTCAGACAGGATCCGTCTCACACACACTCCTGATGCAGCTAGATAGCAACACTCACGGAGGGAGAAAGTGGAGACTGGGGCCCCTTCTTCCCTTGGATTGTGACCTTTCTGCCTCCATAAGATGGCCCCTACCTGGATGATGCTTGGATACAGGGGTCCTCAGAGTCCGGACACTCTGGGGGATGTACAGAAGGTGTCCGGTGGCCAACCCTCCCACAGCATTGTCCCACTTACACCCCCAGTGTGTGAAAGTTGGGACTACAAAGGCAACCAACAGGGAAAAAAGATCAATTCATTTGGAATAGGGTGCTGGAAGGCAGATCTGCAGAAATGCTGAACCACCAGAAAGACGAATAAGGGGGTCCTAGAACAACAGAAGCCTGAACTCTCCCCTAAAAAGTTTAAACGATAAAGTGGAGGCTGTTGCCCTTTCGACACGTCGTGAGAAGACAGAACTCACTGGGAAATACAATAATTGCTGGGGAAAGTGGAAGGCAACAGGGAAAGAAGACGAACTAGTATGAGATGGATTGACTCAATAAAAGCAGCCCCACACATAGCCTTCCGTTTGCAAGGGCTGAGTGGGGCTGCCATGGAACGGAGGCGACATGATGGCACGTAACACCACCCACAGCACTCCCCCTTAGCCTTTAGGGCCCCCAAAAGTTGCCCATCATCCGCGAAGTAACTGTGCTACAGATGGGAGCACACACACACAAAGTATGCCTTTTTGCAAGTTTCAACGGGTGGGAGTAACTGGAATATAGAACGAGTGTATCATCTAAAAAAGGAGCACACTAGGTTTTTCTCCCCCGCAGAACTATTTAGATTCACGTGCAAAACCAGTGGCTTTATTAAGGAAAACACACCACCTCCCCCATTCCCTGGCACTTTAACAGGGTCTGCAACCGGAGTCCAGTTACCACGCCCTTGCTGGGCAAGAATGGGAGGCATGCCCGTTAGAGAACCTCTAACATCACATCTCGGGGCTGCTTAAACCCCTCTTGAACGGCGTAACAGTTATAACTCCACGCACATCACTCAAACGCCCTTCTCTTAAGGACCAGAATTATTTTTTTTTTCAAAGTTGCACCAGGTTCTTTCCTTTTCACGTTCTGAAATAAAAGCAAATGTACCATCATCGATCTATGAGAAGAAGACCAGTCTCCTTAGTAATGCACGTAAGGGCTGCCACCTTGTGGTTTAAAAAGCTGCAGTTCCACAGAAAGTGTGGGATTTAATGACCAACATAAATTTTGATTTACTGCTTCTATAGGGTACCAGTATGGTGTAATGAAGAGAATAACTGACTACAATAACTGACTACAACTCGGAAGGCCTGGGTTCAAATCTCCCCCCGTCAGTCATTGAAACTTACCGAGGGAGGGGTGACTTTCAAAAACATTCCCTTAAGTATTTCGTTCAGCAAGAAAGTCCTATTAGGGTCACTATGAATGATTTGCAACTCGACAGCCCAGAACAGCAGACACTTTGACAATAAGCCGCATATCATCCTAACCCCAGACACATATAGCTGTATAACACACATGCAAAAATTTATTTGCCACATTCACATTTAGGCACTCAGGCATACTCTTTTAAAGTATAAGAATACTTATAAGAATGAGACCACAGAGTTCACCTATAATTTTCTTCTGCTATCTGAGAAATTTAGAATCTGCTTTTTAAAAGGTTTCTTTCCTCAATTTAAACAACATCACATGACACCCACACCCCCCCGGATGAATGCTTTATATTCTTAAAGAAATCTTTGCGAAATTATCTTAACGTTTTACCTAGAAATGTAAAACATGTCTTTAGCAAACACAGTCTCTACAGTTAAGCCTCCTCTTTCTTTTATCGGTTCTACTCCCACAAAACTGCCAATCCGGATGAAATTTCAACATACAGGACAAAAGGCATTACAATATTATTGTAAGAACAGCAAAAGTTTACAGCCTATCGTGCTTAAAAAAATTATAAAAGAAGGCACAAATGAGGAAAAACTTGGATAATCTGACTTAGAAGAGTCTTTCTCCTTAGTATATACATGGCCAGGAAGCTCTGTTTAGAAATCAAAGGACCAGAAAGTGAAACCATGCTGTTCTCATATTTTCTCTTACATATTACCATCATCCTTTCATTAGTTTCTTAATCTAACACCTCACTTAACCACTCAGCGTGACGCACTCCGTGATGTCAGCCACTCTGATGTCAAAAAAGGATCAATTGTGTGTTGGTCTAAAGTGACCCTTGGCACCTTCTCAGTATAGAACAGCTTATCAAAAGCTTAAGAAGTTATAAAAGGAATTATTTACCTTGCTGTTCTGCAACTTCAGATTTCGGCTTCACGCAGATGACTCTGGATTTCACTGGTCCTGCCTGCAGTGTCTCTTGGTGCTTTTTCTGTGGTGACAGTTATTTTAAAAAGGTCATGTTAGCATTCCAGTACGTAATTTAGTTTGCTAAAATACTATTTCCATTCTTAAAAATTGTTCAACCATTACATTTACTTCAGCTCTGAGACTGCAAAAGGGTGGCTGATGGTGTTTCCTCGGAGAAGACCATCGCCACCATCAACAGCACCAAAAGGAGCTGAGAAAATGAATGTTTTCAGTGGAATGGAAAACAGAAACACACTAGAAACACACAAGACAAAGAAACATACTAGAATGTCGAACTTTGTTGAACAACATAAACTCTTTTCCGAAAAGAGTCTCATGGAACCTTATAGAAGTTTTGCCTGGTACAAACTTTCAGGAGGTGCGACACACTTGAGCTGTACTTCACAGCAGCTAATGGCAAATAAAACTTGATAAACTTTAAAGTGTCACGAGACTAATTCCGTTTCTCTGTAATAAACTTATGCAGCTCCCCATCCACTGGCCAAGACTTTAAAAAAAAAACTGAGGTTAGAAATTCTCCTCATCGTTTCAGATGGCCCTCCTCAGGAACCCACTTTTTAGGGTATAAAAGCATCATCCAGTAAGAGCATCACAATCTGTCTTCAGGTTGTATGACATCAACCCTGAGTGTTTTGTTTAAAATAGAGATTTATAAAATGATGCCTATTACAAAAGGATTATCAGGGGACTGGAAACGAAGGCCTATGAGGAAAGAGTGAAAGAACTGGGCATGTTTAGCCTTGAGAAAAGAAGACTAGGGGACAGAGGATAGCACTCTTCATATACTCGATAGGTAGTTCATCCAGAGGAAGGGCAGGATCTGTTTTGATCATTCCAGAGTGCAGGACACGCAACAATGGGCTCAAGTTGCAGGAAGCCAGATTTAAGCTGAATATCAGGAAAAAATTTCTTAACTGTTAGAACAGTACAACAGTGGAAGTAATGACCTCAGAAGGTGGGGAATGCTCCAACACTGGAGGCATTCAAGAGAAAATTGGACAACCACCTGGCAGATCTGCTTTGATGTGAATTCCTGCATTGAGCAGGGGGCTGGACTCAATGGCCTTACAGACCCCTTAAAACTCCATGATTCTATGATTCTTACCAGAGTTGTGTTGCCAGGATAAGAAGCCAGTTTGCTTTCTTCATAAGCTGTTGGAGAAACAGGTTGGTCCAGTTCAGCCATGCTCATTGGCCCACAGCTCACATCAGCATCTCCAAGAACTTCTCCTGAGAAGTTAAATTCATATTTCAAACACAGAGGCTAAGCTACAGATTACAACCACTCACCATACTCCAACGTCATCCTGGGGAATTTCAACAGCCACCCTGTACCCTAGGACCAGTGGTTCTTAACCTTTGTTACTCGCCACCATAATCCAACGTCATCCTGGGGAATTTCGACACCCAGCCCTGCACCCTAGACTGCTTGGCCTTAGATGTACTATTTAGATTTAGGCTATTCTTTAAAAAAAAGGCATTTTCTTTCCTGTTCAATATATTTGGAGCACGACTCAAAGCAGGGGGATCTTTGTAGCTGCCTGCGTAAGTACTGGGAATTATTTTGAAAAAAAAAGGCAGCGGAAATTTTTTGCCAAGATCCTGAAAAAGCTTTGAAGCCGAGAATCCCCTTCTTTCCTGTTCAATATATCTGGAGCACGACTCTTGTGTCAACAAAGCAGGGGGGATCTTTGTAGCTGCTTGTGTAAGTGAAAAGTGAAAAAAAAAGGCAGCGGAAAATTTTTGCCAAGATCCTGAAAAAGCTTTGAATTAAAAAAAAGGCATTTTCTTTCCTGTTCAATATATTTGGAGCACGACTCAAAGCAGGGGGATCTTTGTAGCTGCCTGCGTAAGTACTGGGAATTATTTTGAAAAAAAAAGGCAGCGGAAATTTTTTGCCAAGATCCTGAAAAAGCTTTGAAGCCGAGAATCCCCAAACTAGTTATCATTGGTATTCTACAAGGTTTACCATGAATCTCTTAAATACTATTGTTTCGAAAGCCTTGTTTGCTGCAAGAAAAAAAACATGGTGAAAGATTTCAAAGAGACTTGGTGTAGACAAAATGGGAACAATCACTTAATTACAGCTGAGAACATCACATTTGCCTTAACGGTGGTTAATATGAGTTCCCACCCAGCCCCAGAATTCCTAACGATTCTAAACTAGTGGTCTAAATCTGGCTAAAAAATCTGGGTCAGGCAGAGAACCTGTTCAGCTCTGAACGGTGGTTGGGGGCAGTGCTAATAAAATATTTGGGTATAATGGAGGGAATGCGTGCATGCCAGCGACAGCAGGAAGGAGTGAAAAAAAGGCACACGATTAGCAGACTGGCCGTCCTACAACTTTGTAGACTTATCAACTGTTGTTTTTTTTATTATTATTATTATTATTCTCAAACATAACAGACATTCGTGTTCAATTCTCGAGGTTGAAAGATTCCAAGCACGCACGTTCATGACCTGAACTTTCCAAACGGGTCTAGATTTACGAGCCGGGATCTTGAAAATAAAAACATGTCGTTTTCCTTAGGGGAGAAAGCAGAAAAGCCAGCCCCATGCTAATTAAAAACAGAATAATTTGCTGCAAGATCCACGCCACATTTGCATCACAGCAGCAGCACGGAGTTCACTGGGCTTCAAACTCAAGACTCGACCTTTTTAAAATACCTGAGCCATTAGCTACAGAAATCATAGGATTTATATTGGGAACACGGACAGCGCTACAGTTATTGCTTGGCTGTTTCAGACATGAACATTTGGAAATGCCGACTTAATTCATGAGACACAAACAAAGACAGACCCCATGACCGAACACATGGTCCACAGTCCCTAGCATGCAATCCTGTAACACTCCATATGCACATCTTTTATATGACCATTATCCAAGCTAATTGCCTGCTTTTAAGCAACTTCATTAATTTAGCATGTATTCCTCTAAAACAAGGTCAGGCCCTAGACATATGTATGGCCTGCTTAATTGTTGAACTTTTAAATTCTAATGCATGCAACAGGACTGAAATAAAATATAGCACTTAACCTTAACTGCTGATGGACTGATGCATAACCTCATGCTGTACATTACCCATATAATTTTTTTAAAAGGAATTATTCTGAAAAGTGGCAGCCATTCAAAAAGTAATTATCATGAGTTTCAGTTTTTCCTGGAAAAGATTGCTCTGTGTTGAGAGTGTGTTTCTAACCATGCTGCTTTTAGATGCTGGGGTGGGGTGGGGTTTAATCCTCAATCCTTTTGCAGAGGGAAAAAAATGCTTCTCACAATGCAACTCCCTCTTGCTATCAGGACGTGTTCAATTAAAGAGATATCAATATTAGCAAGAAAGTGATTTTTCCAGAGGCCCACTCAACAGGCGATGCCTTTTGAGGGTCAAGGGCAAAAGCCTCCCAGCTCTGCCACCTGAGAGTGGCCGAAATCCTGTTGCCATAAAGTTACACCACGTAAGGCTAAAGATGTATGCAGTCACCGTGGTTTTTTTCAGAAATAAAACATTTCTGATCCAACTCATGCTGGCTTTCTAAGGACAAAAGGAATTCTATGGGAGTCTCGAAAACCTCAGGTGGAAGGAATCGGGAATGTTTTGTGTTTTTTTTAAAAAAAATCACCACCGTGATGACATTGCCAGCCTTACACGGCATACCTTAGTGCAACAGGATTTTAGCTGTCCTTTCTACTGCAGATAAGTGTGGCTAGTTCCAGGCAACTCAGGAGATGGCCTGTCAACTCACTGCTCCACAAGCCGGCAACAGGACAAGCAAACGTTTTTCTCCTCACTGAATCAAGCATGGCCGGTTCACGATCACAGTTGCAGCCTGTGATCTGCAACCTTTCGCTGCTTTCCAATGGAAATTTTAACCAATTAAAAAAGGGATCAGTTCTGAGTCCTTCTGCATCAAGGTATGACCTCCCCCACCATGCTATGGAGCTTCATTGAAGTTCATATTCATGTGCTATGGGATTCAGAATCTAAATTGTAGAGCAGAGGGTAAGAAACAGAGTGTCCTGCCCAGCTCCAAATCCCAAGGATACCCGGTAGATTTTTGCTTCTCTCTGTAAAAAAAACAGCAGAGCTCAGCTGCGGTGGATATAATCTTTGATTTCCCCATTTTCAAGGGTTTCTACAGACCCTTTCTCATCAGTCACCACCCCACGAGGCACAAGGCTCTGTCAGGGTGCTATAAAGTACAGAAACACACACATACCCTGGTCTGAAATATCTGTTGTTTTAAAATTGTGAACTGGCAGAAGGAAACACTTTGAAGCGCTGGCGTGCTCCATAGAAGACACTCCCCGATAAAAAAAATGTCTAAATTTGCACCTGCATCTCCGTCACATTGTCCTGGTGATGCTGTTCGTTGAGTCGGGCGTCTAGACGTCGGATCGGCAGCTTGGCCCATGTAAACCGAGTCTGAAATGTCTGTTGTTTTAATATTGTGAACTGGCAGAAGGAAACACTTTGAAGCGCTGGCGTGCTCCATAGAAGACACTCCCCGATAAAAAAAATGTCTAAATTTGCACCTGCATCTCCGTCACATTGTCCTGGTGATGCTGTTCGTTGAGTCGGGCGTCTAGACGTCGGATCGGCAGCTTGGCCCATGTAAACCGAGCGGCCCAGCAGGATACTTTCTGCAGCTTTCGTCAGCCTCGGCCTCTGCCCCTCGCTGAGCTCCCCCGTGCTGTTGTCCATGTACTAAAACAAAAGGGACAGAAATGTGGCTGAGAGAAGAACTGGCCGTTCCTTCTGAGCCGCCGTTTGTACAAGGCAGGTTTGGTCGCAGATCGGGAGCGGGCAATTCCACAGCACGTCTCTGGGAAGCCATTTTCTGTCCCTTGCCTCAGCGACCTAAAAAGGCAAACCTATAACAGAAGCAAAGTCAGAAGTGATCAGAAGTCCGCTTCCCAATTCTGAGGGGGAAAAAAAATCTCTTTTTTTGCTGTTAAAAACTGCTTTTGGTGGCCTATTTACAAGGCTGTCCAAGGCGTTTCCTGGGACAGCCGGGTCATCTTTTTTCACTGGAGAAAGCATTTGGGTTTTTTTTTCCTGGGGGGGGTTGTCCATTCATCAGCCGAACAGCACCGGGATGTGCTGTGTGTATGTCTCGGATGAAGGTGGGTAGAGAGGACCGAAGACGACAGACTTACTGCCCCAACAGACAGACAGGCTCATGCTGATGCTCTCTCTTCCCCAACTCCATTTCCCAGTCGCATGAGGCCAAACAGGATCTGGCAGCGTCTCCTACTTTTTCCTACAAGCACACTCTGGCGAGCCATTTGGGGGGGGACATAGTAACATTTCCACCTCCTCCATTAGAACCACGGAGACCACAATTCTATTCCACCCCCGTTTGCTGTCCCCCTTCAGAGACGGATCCAGGCTGAAGATTGCTTTTATTTGTTCAGCCTGGATCGCCCCACTTGGCTAACACTACATTTCAGGACGGATTCCAAACTGACGTATGTAACACGCGCTGCCTTAAGCGACAACGGACCAGTTTCCGGGAGGCAAAATTAAAAATCCTCACAGGAGGAAATGAAAAATGAGTGGGCGAGGAAAGAACCACTGCGAGGTTGTGCTGTGTGTATTCTGGAGTGAAGGTGGGTGGAGAGGAAAGAAGACAACGGCCTTACGGCCCCAACGGACAGACATGCTGCGACAGCGGCGACAGCTGGAAGGAGAAGGTGCAGAAAGAATGGGAAGCATCTTGGCGATTCGTTGTTTTGGCTTAATAGCATCCAGGATATCAACAGCACGGCTGTTTACATGAATGCTTTGGGGGGGAAACTGAGTGTCTCTAGAATGCCTTAGGCCAGCATCTTGTTCAAAGGACTGTGTCCACAATGGAAATCATGGAAGCAAACAGATCAAATTGAGCATCTCCATTGGCCAGCTGAATCGGCTTCCGTAATGACTTGTTCTGGAAGGAGAAGATCTGAAAACAACTGCCGACGTGAACCAGGGTATAAAGGACAGAATGACCAGCGTGGTCTGCATTATTTTATTACCTCTGATCCACAGATCTCTTCCTGGGAAGCCAAAGGGGCTGGATTCAGTTTCGAAAAGAGGGAGAGGACGGGATCCCGATGGTACCCTCTGTGGGGTTGGTGCAGAACTTGCCCCTCACTGGGAGGATCGTAATCCTAAAAGATGGATGAGAGAACTGTGTGTAATATGTATGTTAAGCTATCCACACCTGCAAAGTGAAACAGGAGTACAGTGGTGCCTCGCTTAACGATAATCGGTTCCAGAAAAATCGCTGTTAAGCGAAAACATCATAAAGCAAAATTTTAAAGCCCAATGAAACGCACTGAAAACCGTTCAATGCGTTCCAATGGGCTAAAAACTCACAGTCCAGCGAAGATCCTCCATACGGCGGCTATTTTCGGTGCCTCTATAGCGAGGAATCCGGCCCTAAGTACAGCGGGGAGCCATTTTAAGCACCCGGCAGCCATTCTGAAAACCTGACGATCAGCTGTTTTTGATTGTCGTAAAGCGAAAATTGGTTCCCGAAGCAGGCAACCGATCATCGCTAAGCAAAATTCTCCCATTTAGACCATCGTTTTGCAATTACAATTGCGATCGCAAAAACATCGTCGTAAAGCAGATTCGTCGTAATTCGGGGCAATTGTTAAGCGGGGCACGACTGTAAACTGTAGCATCGAAACCACTTTGTGATGAGGGGCACTAGAACACAACTTACAAAGCAGAGGAGAAAGGCACACCCTTAGTGAAATAGGTGGCCTTGTTTAGAAGAACAGACACTACCAATGCATGAGTCTGCCTCATACAGAATTTAATAACCGTTGAATAATAATCTTAGAATGGCAGAGCTGGAAGGGACCCTGTGGATCATCAAGTACAGCCCCTGTCAAGGAGGCGCAGTGGGGAATCAAACTCCGAACCTCTGACCTTCGCAGCCAGAGACCTAAACCACTGAGCTATCCGGCAGTTTTTATTATGACTATGGGTTCACCAAGCCCTGTACTGTCTATTCATGGCAGGTCATCAAAGGATAAGACACCTTCCAATAATTGCTTCTCAAGATCCAGTTGGGAGTGCCCCTGAATCTGGGTTTTGCTGTGCTTTCAGAGTGTATGGCCCACCAATGAACTTAGCACAACCCTCCCAGCTTACACACATTGGTACAAAATCCAACCTTTGCACAACAGGAATTGTGCTTGCTAACACTGCCTCCCCCCACACGCTCCTTCTCTCTTCTAGAAAATGGCACAGATGGGGATGAAAAATCAGAGAGCACCTACAGATTCAAGGTAGATCACAGATTCCTGAAATCCTGGGACTGCTGATGAAAAAAATATGAAGATGATCATCTGTGTTGTTCTGACCAAGTTCTGACCAAGGTGGGGATGAAGACAGAAAAGGTTGCACTCTGGTTTAGGGCCGTGGTGCTCAACCTTGGGTCACCCAGATGTTCTTGGACTGCAATTCCCAGAAGCCTTCACCAACAGCTGTGCTGGCTGGGGTTTCTGGGAGTTGCAGTCCAAGAACACCTGGGTGACTCAAGCCTGGGAACCAACTGGCTTAGGGCACTGCAGGGGCTAAGGTCACCTTCTGTCATGTTCCATCCGTACTGCAAACAGAGGAGAGTTCTTTAGTTACCGCTCCAGGCCCCATAATTCAAAGAGTTTTAAAAAGTGGACAGCTCATAACAGAGCTGCTCAAGGCGAAGAAGAAATGAGTTACTAGCCATTTATTTTATAAAATTCACCCAGTTCCTCCTCCCAACTTTTAGGGGGGAAACTGAACTGTTTGGGTGTGGAGTATTAGATTCCGCGGCTTTTTCTACCACTTGTTTATCCGCTGAATTGTTGCGAGAATCCATCCAAACTAGACCAGTTCATTCTGCTGGCTTCAAGGTCATGAAAGGTTTCATTACCATTTCGCGTACGTCACGCAGAGAGCTCGCCAAACTGTCACTGATGTGTGGAAGACAGAGTTCTCCCTCTGCAAAAGCTAAGACAAGGAAAAACCACAGGTAATTAGGCCTAAGGCTGCCGTCCAGTTCAACTCGCCAATATCTCTATAATGAAAAACAGCAGCAGAGGAGGGACGTCCGTTTTTCTATGCATAGATTTTTGCAAACGTTTTTTGTCACTTGTTCCCCCAGGCTCCTGATCTCGGCACACCGTTTTCAACTCCTAAGGCGACAGGGCCTCTTGATTTGCCTCGACGGGATTGCTAGCCCATCAAGGATCTCGTTGAGAAGGCCGTGACTTCATGGCCACACACGGCCAAGCAGATTTTGCACAGAGGATGCCAACGGGGGCAAACAAAACCCCCTGCTTTGCTTTGACTCTGAAGAGTTGGGAATGAGAGATGGGGAGGGGAACGCATCCATTTGCAGAAGAAATCGGTGCTTCGCTTAGCTAAGCTGTGATGGTGGATGACTAAAAGATATACTCCCGTTTAGAATCTGAAGGGCCAGATCTCTACGGTTTGAGGTTGCACCAATATGCAGAAGAGTTGGATGCAATCCTCAGCATGTTATAACTCTCTCCTTAGCATTCTTATGGAGATGTGTTACATCTTCTCACTCTTAAACAGTTAAAAAAATAAACCAACTGTTACATACAGCACTGATGTTACCTGTCTGTCATGGGTTTGGAGGGAAAGTTCCATCCTATGGGGAGTGGAAGGCGGGACATCAGGAGGAGGGGCTGTACTGTATATAAATGTGAAACCTGTGTGGTGAGAGAGAGACACACTGAGAGATGCTGAGAGACACTGGCATGTGACGAAGCAGCAGCTGGGAAGAAGGAGCTGTTGTGGGAGTCTGTGTGTCAGACAGGGTACTACTGTGTGTCAGAGTACCAACCTGATAGGTTCAGGTGTCTGTATGGTTAGCCAGAACTGATAGGTTCAGGGTCTGTGCTTCAAGTTAAGGGTTCTGTGTGAACCAAACTGTGTGTATGTATGAGTGAAACTAAGCCACGTTACTTTATGTTATTCACCTGATCGTTTTATTTTGCCTGTGTGTGTATTTAAATAAACCTTATTCTTTTTATTGTTTAAAAATCCATCCCTGGTCTGTGTGACTTATTAAAGGGAATGGTTGGTGGCAGCTTAATGAAAGTGTGGCAGATCCCAGTAGGTCTGGGTTTGTCACATTGATTGGTGTCCAGCGTGTGGGATACGACTGGTCCAGTTGTCCAGCTGTGCTGGCCAGGATTTCTGGGAGTTGTAGTCCAAGAACATTGCCCGGGGGGGTGGGACCCAAGGCTGGGAACCACTAATCAAACCCTTCAGTTATTTTTAAAACTTTAACATGACAAGAGGTAGCTGGGGAGTGGGGGGGGGGAGCAACAGGCCTGGCTGGCAAGCGAATCTTCTGTACAACAACACACCCGGAGCAGAGTAGGGAGAATGGAAAGGCCTCTTTGAAGAGCCAGGCAGTTAATGATCTCAGCCGGCTTGTTCTTTTTTTAATGGAAAAAGACAAAGTAAAAGTATATCAAATAAATACATAATAAATAATAAGGCGGGGGTATCCCGTTTTCCGTCTGCCGGTTTGGCCGATTTTGAAGATTTCCCCAACGCTTTCCCAATGAGGCCATAGCGAAGGACGGTCAGAAGAATTTAAAATCGTAAATATTAACAATAAAGCCAAGAAGCTGGGAAGCAGAGCGGAAAGGAACGACAGAAAGTAAACTGAGAAATAAACAGTAGAAACAGCCGAAGGAGAACAAAGAATAGACATTCTAGAGTTCAGGAAAAAAATGCCGGGTGAGGGTGAACGCAGAGGAAAAAACACGTCGGGAAGATAAAGACAATTGGTAATTCCTATGACTTTTGCTCTGTTTGGTTAGCAATGAGATTTTGCCCACTCGGAGACAGCATCTGCCCTGCAGTAAGTATATAATGTTTCCTTCAATGAATCTGATGTCCCATAAAGGGGTCTTCTTCTGTCTTTGTAATAATCACATCTTTTTGGCTGATACTGAAGGAAAAGCAACAAAGATAAGCGCAGCTTAATTTTAATATGTTGTTCTCGCTGTTCTGTGCCGACAAGTTAGAATCGACTTAGGGTGTCTCTAGTTGGGCTTTCGAGGTGAGTGAGAGTTTTAAGGAGGGGTTTTTGCCAGTTTCACTCCCCCCATGTGAGTTTCCGTGGCCGAGCGGGGACTCAAACTCTGTTCCCCAGAATCCTAGCCCATCACTCGATCCACTGCACCACACTGGGTATCCACACTTTCATAGACCAGAGTTAAAACATGGGCACTTTCCTTGCTTGCCGTAGAAAAACAAATATCCTACACAACCCCAAAAGAGATCCAGGATGGATGGGGGCCATTCAGCCCAGGTCTGCGATCCCCCCTGCCTGCTTCCATACTTTCTAATCAAACCTACATGCTTTCTCTAAAGGGCCACGCCATGTCCCGTGGAGCCTGGTTTAGGGATCCTAGAATCATGGAAGAATGGAGTTGGAGGGGGCCTGTGAAGCTACTTGAGTTCAACCCCCTGCGCTCAAGGCAGGAATCCAGATCAAAGCGGACCTGACAGATGGCTGTCCAATCTCCTCTCGTCACTTCCCAGAATAACTGGTTCCATTGCTGTACCACTCTAACAGTTAAGACATTTTTCCTGATACTCAGTCTAAATATGGAGAAAGGAAGGCCCTCCAAAAGTTACTGAACTGCAAACACACCTCAGCCCTGGCCGCCGTGGCCAATAATGAGGTATGTTGGGAGCCACAACCAAACAATACATGGAAAGACCACCATCATGCCCTCCATTTCACTAATAGGAAGATTACATTAACCTGACAACAAGGTAGCTGTAGAATAATCTCTCTCGCTCTCTTTTTACTAGTGTTTCTCTTAACCTGCTGTAGTTTGGGGGTTCTTTTTAATTACTGTATATGTTTTATGTTTGAAAGCATATTGTTGGTTTGGCGGGTTGATGAGTTATCGTTGCTTGGTTTATTTATTTATTTATTTATTTATTTATTTATTTATTCATTCATTCATTCATTCATTCATTCATTCATTCATTCATTCATTTTCATTCATTCTATTTATACCCCGCCTATCTGGTCATTGCGACCACTCTAGGCGGCTTACAACATAAAAAAAAAAACAAATATAAGAAAAAAATTATTACACAATTAAATAATACTGCAAGATGGGAAGCACACAAAATAAATCAAATAGAGAAAGGAGCGGAGAGAGTCAGGAATTAACTGGGGGGAAGGCCTGCCTAAACATCCATGTTTTTAATTGATTTTTAAAAGTACCCAGCGAGGGAGCTGCGCAAATCTCCAAAGGCAGATTGTTCCAGAGGCGACATGAGGTTTGTTGTAAACCGCTTAGAGCAGTGCATTGCACTAAGTCAGGGGTATATAAATGCACCAAATAAATAAATACAGTGGTGCCTCGCTAGAGGTGAATGGAAAAGTGAGAGTCTATAATCCACCATCAAGAACTTACACAGCCCTTGGGTGATAGCCTCCTTCTTCACTCTGTGGACTGGGTTTCTCCTCATCCAGGGGAAGCTCTGCATCTCCCCAGGCATCTGGAGGTTTGGGCCTTGCGTTTGGAAGCTGCTCAGACAGAGCAGAGCTTGGTGTGGCTGCCCTGGGTGGGGTCGCCGCAGGGGTAGCCAAAGGTGTGGCCACTGGGCTCACAACGGCCGCCTGAGATCCTCCTACACAATTTCCCCCCACAAGATACAAGAGAAACAGACGTGAAATGAAGGCTACGTTGCGGCATTTAAGACTCGGAATTATTTGTTTTCCTACAAGACAAAATAGCGGTCCGGCAGTGCAGTGGGGTCCAAACTAAATTCAGCAGCACGAGTGGGCAAATAAATACCAAGCTACTGCTTTCCGTCCGCATTGCTAGCCGCTGTAAATAGTTGAGAAAATGGAAAGAGGTGAATGGAAAAGTGAGAGTCTGTAATCCACCATCAACAACTTACACAGCCTTTGGGTTATAGCCTCCTTCTTCACTCTGTGGACTCGGTTTCTCCTCATCCAGAGGAAGTTCTGCATCTCCCCAGGCATCTGGAGGTTTGGGCCTTGCGCTTGGAGGCTGCTCAGACAGAGCAGAGCTTGGTGTAGCTGCCCTGGGTGGGGTGGCCGCAGGGGGAGCCA